GCGTCGCTCCCGTCCCGGCATGGGGCTCTCCTGCGTCGCTCCCGTCCCGGCATGGGGCTCTCCCACAGCACCAGCTACCCGGCTGCTGCAAGGATAAATTTCAACCTCCACAGTCCAAGCTAGATCCCTGATTTGATTTAATCAAGGAAAGAGAAGAGCTGCCTTATGCCTGCTCCAGACACTGCACGGCTTACCCTTCCTCAAAAGGTACCGATGACTCCATGGGAAAAGCCTGTGCTGGAGCAGTCTGATGGGCAAGGACTGCATTCGATGGGAAGGACTCACATTGGAGAAGTTCATGGAGAACTGTCTCCCATGGGACGGACTCCATGTGGGAGCAGGGGAATAGTGCAAGGAGTCATCCTCCTGAGGAGGAAGGAGCAGCAGAAATGATGTGTGATGAACTGACCTGCAACCACCATTTCCCGTGCCCCTGCGCTGCTGGGGAAGCAGGTAGAGCTGGGAAGAAGGGAGGGGTGGGGGAAAGTGTCTTTAAGATCCAGCTTTGTTTCTCATTATCCTCTCTGATTGATAACAAATTAAACTGATTTTTCCTCAAGTCTGTTTTGCCCATGACCATAACTGATGAGTGACCCCTCCTTGTCCTTGTCTTGACCCTCGAGCCTTTTGTTATATTTTCTCCTCTCCATCCCACCGAGGGGAATGAGTGAGCGGCTGCATGGTGCTTAGCTGCCGGCTGGGGCTAAACCACAACAAGAGTTTACAAGCAAGACCAAGGGGCACAAGCCCTTAAATTCAAGCAACATGACTTGCTTGTAAGTCACCACACCCCCACTCTCCCTGGCATCGTTCTGCACCACAGCCATGCAGCATCCTGCCAAGTCACCGGCTTTTCCCACAGGCTGCTGCAAAGGTCCAGCTTACATAAGAAGGAACAAACTAGCTTTTCTTCGACACCCTTTCAATGCTACCATTCATGCCCTGCCCTCCATCCGCCCAGTGCCACCTTGAGGGATGCAAAACACACAGCCAAAACACTTCGTCTCACACGTTGTCCCAGGGAAAATTTTTGTTGTCTGTGGGTAACAGGTCTACAATTTTGTCCTCCTAAACCACAAGTGAATGAAAGGGTTAAGGCAAAAACTACTGAGATGCAAAAGTACCCGTGTGTTAAGGACACACTGTACCCTAGCAAAGCCACGTCACTGCTCAAAAAGCAAAGAGCTCCGAGGCCTGACAGTCCTTCCCTGGAGGACACAGGGGCTGTAGGACCAGGTCACATGCGTCCCACCACAGTGATGAATCCGGCATCAAACAGCAAGGGACTGAATGTGTTCAATGGTTGTGTAAAGACTTTGGCTCCGACACTGAGCAAGCACTAATGCTAGCCTCAGTTCTACCCAGCTGGAAACATCTTGGTCAAACCCCAGGTTATTTTTGCATCTGCACATCGGTTCTGCCTGGTTAGAGACTCCATGCTGACTTTGGCCAAGTGGTCAACCCCAGGGAAAAGCAAGCCAGGAGGGAAACAGGACGTAACTTTGCAGGCTAAGCATGAAATGACAAAGCCAGGTTTATTCAGACACAAACAGGCCGCTTCAAAGCATTTTTCCACCCCTTATAAAATCAGTACCAGCATCTCACCATCTACACTCCAGGATTTTTAGCCCTCTCCTGACTTCAAGCCAGCACGGATGCATACTGCTTGCCCTTTCCAATCATTCTGCCATTATTTGTCAAATACCAAATTCCATCTCCTTTAAGAAACCAGGGGGGAAGGAAGCATGGCTGGTTGAACTATTTGTCCTCCTCACCACCCCCATGCACACTTTTACATCATCAGAACAGAGCAAGAAACCCACAAAAAATGCACATTCCCAAAGCTGGAGGCTACGTCCCAGTTCTGGCAACCCAGCGGTCTTACCACAAAGCTCAGCGCAGCCTGGATCCCCTTTGACATCTTAACAATACATTCACAGCAGTGGAAGGATGGAGAAGGAGGGCTTCAAAAGAAACGAGCAGCAAGGAGCAAGCTATTTTGGACCCAGAAGCCATCCACTGCAATGTGAACCCTCTCCATCTGAGCTTTACTGCTCCTCCCAGCAAGCGCTTTGAAGCGTGGCAATGGGAAACGAGGAGAGAGTCAACAGCACCCAGCGCGTTGGTTGGGTATGGGTCTACAAATACTAAAATGTCTTCTATGTCAACGAAGTCTGGACTTGATGGGGTGAGAGAGGGAAAGTACAGAAGACAGAGCCCTCAGTGGCCTTATGCCATCCATACGTTCTCCTGATTGCAGCTTGTAGGGAGGCTGGTGAAGACATCAGGATACAGGCAGCCTGCAAGCAGCTCGCTGAACCTTGCGCACGGGGTGGTTTGGACCTTAGAGCAATGTAGGACCGTCTTAGCACATAATGCTGGAATTTAACCCCTTTACCCAGCTTTGGAGGGGAAGAGAGGAGAGAAGACAGTGCGCTTCAAGTCTCCCCTCTCTAGCCAATGTCTGCAAGGGTTGGGAGGGCTTTTTCTTCTATTGCTGTCAAATTACAAAGCAGCCAGAAGGAGAGGACACACTTTCACATCACATGGAGCAGCTGCTGTGCAGGATTTGCAGCCGTTTTGCACCTTCTCTGTCAATTGCACAACCAGAGCCTTGCTGCCAAAAACGATGGTAACACTCTGCAACCCATTCCTCCCCTGCCCTGGATGACTGACCCGACAGCTGGTGACCTTGAAAAGATGATCCTGGGCTCCTGCCTGGGACAAGCCATGGCCATGAATCATAGGACTACTGTGGCTGAGGAGGCAGCAGCTGGTTTGCTGGGTGAGTTGGTGTCATGGGGGTACATCAGCCAAGCACTGGTTGGAGGGGCAGGAAGAGACAGAACCAGATCAAGAGATGCAGAGAAAGCAGCTGGAAGGAAGTTTGTACGGCATCTGCGCTACGGTCCCAGCCACCCACATCTACACATACTAAACATCAATTAAATTTAAATTAAAAGAAAAAAAAAAAACCACTTTGTAAAGACAAGAGATGAAAACATCCATGCGGTATCTTTGAAGAGTGAGATGAACCCACCCTGAAGAAATGTAAATGTAGCAGGAACCAAGAGACTCCTGGGATTACTCATTACAGGAGATGAGATTCTCAACATCTTTCTGTTTTGCAGCAATTAGCTGGTAACTGGAAAAAAAAAATTGAATAGATCAACACTTTTCTATTATTAGTTTTAAACAATGACTCAGAAACAGGCACTTCCTTTTTCCCCAAGCTGTGAAGAGCTAAGCACCAAGACCCTGATCATGGCTTCAGGCTCATTTAAACTGCAAATATCTCTGCAGAAATTACAGGAGAGTGGTGTGAATACAACGAGAAACAAACCCTGTTTCAAGCGTAACTACTAGCAATTACCTTTCATTTATAGGTTAAAAAGCTTGATACAGCGTATTCGCTAGG